CTAACATGCCTGGAAAAGCAGCAAAACATGGCCCAAGCACTTGGGCTCCTGTCAGCTAGGTGGGAGACTTGGAAGACGTTTCTGGCTCCTGGCTCAATATAGCCCAGCTCTGCTAATGCAGCCAATCTGGGGAGTGAACCACTGAGTAAAAGATTCTCTCTCTCTCTCTCTCTATGTAACTCTTTCAAAATAAAAAAATCTTAAAAACAGAAAACAAAGAAACAAAAAAACAGGTAGCAAAAGACATTTCAGCAGACAGCTCAGTACTATAGCATAAAGAGCATGACAATTTTGGTGGGGGGCAGCTGATGAAGTGACTGTGAGCTGTGTCCCTGGATACCCTCACACAACAGTCACCCCATCAGCCTCCTCCCATTGAGACTGAGGTGCAATAAAGAAAAAAAGCAGACTCATTCTTCAAGTCACTTCACTGAACTTATTACATTGGCCTAATTTTACCCTAATTATACATAGCATCCTGATTCCTTGCATATTTCAGCTGCATTTAAGGTCCAAGGCTCCTCTCCCCATTACACATTCACTCGCAGTTCTTCATGATGGTAACAGTCACACAGATAATCCTCCCAATGCCCCTCCATGCCATTTAAGCTTCTACAAGATGACCTTTGATTTACACACTAATAAATCACCTGATCACATTTTGGTCCACTTTTCCTGCACCTGTCAGCAGCATCTGACATAAATGATCAGTTTTCCTGAAACACTTCCTGCACTTGGTTTCTGGAACACGAAAACCATCCTGGTTTTACTTTCACCTTTCTGGTTTTTCTTCAATTTCCTTTTTTTGGTTTCCCCGATGCAGTCGGTCTTGGTACCACTTTTTTCTGAACATACTCATGCCCTCTGTGAGTTATTTCAGTATCTTAGATTGAAATATTGCCCATACGCTCATGGCACCCATCACTGCTAACTTCCACAGTACAGATCTCACTGCATTGATCTATTCGTGTGTTGGCGGACAGCTGGATTGTTGCTATCTTTGGTAACTAGGGATAATGCCTGCATAGACATTAGTGTACAAGCATGGGTCCCTGCCATCAATTCTTTTGGACACAGACTAGACATAGGATTACTGGCTCTGATGTCTGCAAAAGGCATGAACACATATAAATGTATGCATACACACAAAAAAAACACACAGATACACATCGAGCATGAACTTAATGGGACATATAAGAAGAGAGAAAAAATGAGGAGTGAGGATCAGGAACAGTGAAAGAACACTGACAATAAGCATCCAAATAAACAGTAAACTAAAAACTGGACCTATACAGCTTTTATAGGCAACTGGTTATTTATGCAATTTGATGTTAACATATATAAATATTATATTAAGACCTTTTCATAAAGACACATGCACATATACACACATACACACACACACAGAGAGAGAGAAAACTTACTGCTGGCTCTCCCTTAAAGCCCATAATAATAGGGCCTACTCAGAGCCAAATCCAGGAGCAAGGAACACAATCCAACAGGAGAGCACGATAATCAGGGGTGGGGACAGGCTAGCCAGGCAAGGCTGCAGTATTCATCAGCATTTGTGTGGACCAGGTCTTGGGGCAGACTAGGCTAGGTCAGGCTGCAGTACCTGCTGGCATGCATGAGAGCCAGGACAGGATGTGGACTGTGCCTAGCTGGGCTAGGTTACAACACCCACCAGCAAGAGCTGAGATTGTACGTGAACCTTGTCAGGCTAGGTCAAAGCACCCACAAGCAAGATCTGGAGCTGGGAACGGACCTGCCTAGGAAACTTTGGGGACTCCTCTACTCAGCTGCAGCTCCACTGGTGAGCGCAAGAGCCTGGGGCTATGGGCAGACTGGGTTGGGCAAGGTTGAAGCACCTGTTGGCATGTATGTAGGCTGAGTTTTGAGGCGGACTGGACTAGGCTAGGGTACAGCACCTGTTGACACTCATGAGACCAAAACGGGTGTGGAGCAGGGCAGGCTATGTTGTGGGCTAGGCAGTAACACCGCTGTACCAGTAAGAGCCGCAATTGATGCAGGCTAGTTGGGCAAGACCACAGCACTCACTGGTGAGTGCCAGGATGGACGGCAGCCATGTCAGTCTGGGTAGCAACACCTGCCAGCACACATGAGATCCACTCCTGGGAGTAGTCTTGGTAAGGGATGTTGGGAACTCCCCTGCTAGGCTGCAGCTACTGCTGCTGAGCACAAGAGCCAGGTCTGGGAGCACACACAGGCCAGGCTGAGCTGTAGCTCCCATTGGCATATATGTGCACCAGGTTTGTGGAAGGAGGGCAGACTCGGCTAGTCCACAGCACACATTAGCACAAATGAGAGCCATGACAGGGCTCGAGTTAGGCCTGGTTAGTACACAACATTCTCAGATTCACGTGAGAGTTGGTGATTGACCAGACTGGGCTAGGCTGCTAGATCTGCTGGTGGGAGCTGTGACTGCGGGTGGGCCAGATTAAGTCAGGGGGTGGTTCTCATTGGCAAATGCCAAGACTGAAGACAGGTCATCTCAGACTGAGCAACGACACCCACTGGCATGTGCTGGGGCTGGGAGTGGGTCTTGTAGGGGAACTGTGGACATACCCCTGCTGGGCTGCAGCTCCCACTGGTGAGCATGACAGCCTGGACTTTGTGTGCCAGGCTAGTCAAGGCAGCAGCATGCACCAGCATATATGTGGGCCATGCCTGGGGGAGTGGCAGACTGAGCTGAGCTGCAGCACCCATGGGTGTGTACAAGAGCCAAATGGGTTGTAAGACAGACTTGACTAGACTGCAGCACATTCTAGCACATGTAGAAATTGGGGCTAGGGGTGGGTCTGGTTGAGGTTATTGGGTTTCACTCTGACTAGGCTGCAGCCCCCGCTGGTGTGTGTGAAGACCAGGCCTGTAGCAGTCTGGACTGGGCTGGGATAGATCACAACACCTATCAGTCCATGTAAGATGGACTAGGAGTGGAACTAACACCTGCATCCAGACAGCAGCATCCACCAATATGATACAGGTGATGGATTAAACCAGATACTGCACTGACTGGCACACACAAGAATCAAGTCTAAGGTCATCCCAGGTGAAGTTTCTTGGTGGATTCCTCAACAAAACTCTAGCCAAAGGGAAAATCACAATATATGTGGTCCAACCTTAGAGTGCATATGTCAAAACTGGGCCTCCTCAGTCGCTGATGTCTGTACAGCACACATGCCCAGATGCATATGGGACATGACAGCCAGATCATCTAGGCCAGCAGAACATCAGTTGCCTCGAGCCTTGTCAGAGAAAGGAAAACAGAACATGTTGGACCACTGCCCTGGCCAAGCTTTGCAGCATGTTGCTAGATCTCTGGACTCACTTAAGGTAGACATGGTCAGCCCATAGTGCCTGGAAAGATTCTCTCGCCAACATTTCAAAACTACCAAAATGACTCAAGTAACACCCTTGGAACACTCTTCCCCACACTGAGGTTTCTAAGGAATCATCAAATGCTGTCTAGATGTTGATATAGGTTTGATAGCAAGGAGTGCCCCTCTCTCCTCCTGGAACACAAGAGAAAAAAAAAATTTTGAAACATTTGTTCTACCCACCTTCCACCATATCTCAACCATCCCCACTCAACAATGTGTAACCCTCTCAACAATGCAATCTTAAAAATAAAAATTAAAAAAATTAAACCTTAGTATAGCATTAACACTTCTGTAGACCTGTTTCTTACCATATTCAACTCAATGACCAATTCCATTTAAGAAACAGAAACAAAATAATGAATGAAGTTGGGGAAAATAATGGATAAATAATACAAGTGGCTAACCCAATGCAGGAATATATTTGAGTATGGATTTAGCAGTTAAACTCAACATAGGACTTTTAATCTGTTGACCTGAAATATCATTTTTAAAATTACTTAAATTTTGAAAGACACAAACCTAGAGATTTGACAGTTTGTCAAATCTAATGTTGCCAGTTAGGTATCAAGTCAACCTACAAACTGTAAACAAGCTGTGTTATACAGATCAGCTCAGGCATGTTCTGGAGACATAGAGTTCTTCTTTAGAATACTGCTCCAGTCTCCTCTATCAGAGACAGGAGAATACCGTATCTTAGACAAATTAAGATGGGGTTAATGTTCTACAAAGGTGGTGAATGTTTGTGAGACTAAACAGGGCATTAACTAGAAATATAGTATACACACACACACATGCGCACACGTGCGTCCTCAGTCTGGTTATTTCATCACCACCATCTATTTCGTAATACCCCAGAGGACAATGATAGAAATAGTTCAGTAATAGGGGACCCCAAAGTCCCCAGAGTCTCCCAGCCGTGAGAGTCAGAACAGCACTACACAAATTTCAGAGGTTCAGGGATATGGCTGTGTTCCCAAGAAGAATGTCCTTTGGTGGTTCCTGGGCATACACGACCTCGTCCTCTCCCAGCTCCTGGGTGTCCTTATGCTCTGGAGACCCAGTGAGCCACTAGCAGTTCAAAGTTCACCAGAGTTAAAAGTCGTGGTACTGAGCCAGTGCAGTGCTGAGCCAGTACACACGTTGTTCCCTTCTGCTTCCCAACACTCACTCAACTGCCTCCTATTAGACGTTTAGGATTAAATATAATGGGAAACTCTTCCTGGAATTCTATCAACTGCTTCTTTTTGCCTCTTCTCATGCCCAGCTCTTCCCTGGCTCAGGCCAAAGCTGCTGTGCTGCATAAGACTTTCCCCAGCACATCATACTGAAATCCCTGGCACGTTTGACCTCTCTCCCTCTCCACACTTGAGCCCCTTGAAGACAAGATCTACGCTCTTGATTTTTGAGCCTTAATTCAGTCTTTAGCAGCTGGTGGGAAATCCAATGCTAAATTAATGAAGAAATTCAACATCAACAAAAAATAACTACTGTTTCAATGCCAACTCTATTCTAGGAGCGTGGATCCAGTGGCAAGCACAAGCCACCACAGCATTATTGCTCACAAGACTGACCTCTATTGGGAAAGTAGACATGAGTTGAATGTACACATTAATGAGTGGCTTAAATGCAAATGTGCCATTTATAGATGAAGACCACAGGTAACGAGCACAGTTGTTTTTTTTTTTAAGATCTATGGCCTATACTGTTTTTTACTCATTTTTCTGTTTTGTTTTTTTTTTTCAGATGGAAAAGAGCTAGAATCATCCAGGTGAGTGGGAAAGGTGAAATATGAAGAGAAAAGAAAACAAATAATAGGCTATACTTGTTGACTGCATAAAAAGAATCCTGTAACCCTGATGGAAGGACTAATCTTGAATGAGACAACAGAGCATCTACAGAAGAGGTAGGGAGGGGGTAGGTTCTGAGAGAGTAAATTGAAGGAAGTCCTATCTAAAGTCCTATCTCTCCCGTTTCTCTATGGAAGAGAATTAAACTCTATATTAGTAGCAGTACAGAATGTGGGACTCAGATATTTGAAGAATGCAGAAAAGATTTGAAGTTTTTGTTACAGAGTACAGGAAAACCAGTTAACAGAAATGTGGCAAGACTGTTGCGTTGTACTAAGAAGAACCTATCAGGTGGTCAGTGCTGTAGTATAGTAAACTAAGCTTCTGCCTGTAGTGCGAAAACTCATACGGGAGCCAATTCAAGTCCAGCTTCAACATTTCCAATCCAGCTCACAGCTAATATACCTGGGAAAGGAGCAAAAGATGGCTCAAGTCCTTGGCCACCAGCATCCACGTGCAAAACACCGAAGAAACTCCTAGCTCCCAGTTTCAGAATAGTCCAGCTCCATGCAGGCTTCTGGTCTCAGACCAGTCCAGCTCCCATCATTTCAGCTATCTGGGGAGTAATCTGGTGAATGAAAAACCTCTGTGTCTTTCCTTCCCTCTCTGTAAATTTGCCTTTCAAATAAAAATAAATAAATGGAGTCAGTGGAGGAGAAGAGGGAAGAACAAGAACAACCCATCTGAGGTTGGTAGTCCTCCCTATATGGTGACAACATTCTGTCTACTGTGCACTTTTTTCCTGACGGGTTCAAAGGCTCAGGGTCACCATAAAGAAAGCATACCAACATGTCCACTCAGCTTGGGAATTTGCCAAATTGCAGTGAGGAAGTAGAAGTAGGTCAAGGGAGTAAAGGGTATTTTACAAGAATGTTATTGCGGCGCCAGTGCGGAGGCACAGCTGGTAAACCAGATGTCTGCAGCACCAACTTCCCTGTGAATGTTGATTTGAATCTTGGCTGTTTCATTTCTGATCCAGGTCCCTGCTAATGTGCCTGGGAAAAGCAGCAGAAAATAGTCCAAGTCCTTGGGCCTCTGTCATCCAAGTGGGATCTGGCTTCTACCTGATTCACCCCTAGCCTTCATGGTCACATGGAAAGCAAACCAGCAGAAGGAAGTATGCTCTCTCCCCCCTGCCCCCTGCTTTCAAATAAATTACGTAAAATTTTTAAAAATTAAAGAAAAGACGTTACTGGAATAAAAGATCACAAAATCCAAGAGGAAAAGCCTGACAGATTAAATGGAGTTGGGAGGAGAGATGCTGGCTGACTGGGGTCCAAAAGCACAGTTGAGAGCGGTTAAGCAGAAGCCAGAGGAAAGACAAGGGTACAGGCAGGGGAAGAAGCACGGCAGAGTCATCTCTGAACACATTCTCCAAACAGTCCTTTCCCAGCAATGCTGAAGACATTATAATTGTGAGGCAAATATTAGAGGAAGTAACATAACAGCAAGGCAGCGAAAGCCAAGACACTGAGGTAGCAGTAAAAGAATCATGTCTCTTGAGCATCCTTGCTGTTCTTGCCTGGCTAACCACTGGCACAGCCCCAGCCACTGCCCCACATTGTCTCCACTCCCAGGTTCTGTCCTCCCAGTGGCAGCCCCTGGCTTGTCCTATGGGGAGGAAAGGCACGCTTACAGATCAAAATGTTCAAATTCATTACTTTTGAAATTGGTGGTTTCAGTTGATGACAAACCGCCAGTTTATCAAACACACCCTCTGGACCAGCTGTGACTATGACCAGGAAAGGGCTGATCTCAGGAAGAGCCAACTTTAATTAAGAGGAGATGAAAGGATGAGGAGAAAAAGCAATTATGGAATAGCCAAAGATATGGTTGAAGAAGTAAGTATCCATTCACGTAAAAGGAGAGGGCGAGTGCCTCCAGGACTGTGCTTTCCCGGTGCGCTGGGAGCCAGCGAAAGCCTGGAATGGGTGTCCTGCTCACCAGCTTATGCTTAGGGCCCCACACTATCCTGAGCAGATAGCAGGTCTTCAGGACATATTTGTCAGAAGTGGGAATGAGGCTTACTTAGCGTAGTAGTTTAGTGGCTAAAGTCCTTGCCTTGCATGCACTGGAATCCCATATGGGCACTGGTTTGTATCTCAGCTGCTCCACTTCTCTTCCAGCTCCCTGCTTGCTTGTGGCCTGGGTGGGCAGTTGAGAACAACCCAAAGCCTTGGGACCCTGCAGCTGCTTAGGAGACCCAGAAGAAGTTCCTGGCTCTCAGCTCCTGATTTTGGATCAGCTCAGCTCTTGCCATTGTGGCCACTTGGGACATGAACCAGCAGATGGAAGCTTTCTCTCTACAAATCTGCCTTTCCAATAAATAAATAAATAGATAGATAAATAAAATTCTTGTTGTTCTAGTTCTAGTTTAGAAGGGATACACAGGGGTGTGAGATTTTTAAATCTCCTTTAGTGGAAATAAAATAGATACGAAGCACAAGGTAAATTCAAAGTCTTTGCAAGTGTCCTTGTCACCCACTATCCAGCGTCATTGTCCTAGAAGAACGAGACACCCCGGAATGCCTCCAGTGCTGGAGTCAGGTGGGCAGTAATAAACTAGGGGAGAGAAAGAAACACTGTGAGAAGGCCTGATGTCAGAAGAGGGTATAACTGTACTCCCTGGAACTCAAGAGAGAAAGTTGGCCCCTAATCACTGTTAGCCTAAGTTTCAAAGGAAGGAGGGAGCCATGCTTAGATAAGGTGCTTGCTAATTCTTAGGAGGACAGGAAAGAAACACAGCATAATGTTGACAGGAGCTTTCTCTGGCTGGTAGAATGATTTTCCTTCTTTGTGTATTTCTTCATGTCAGCATTTTGTATGATGAATACGTCTAATTTTGGCTTTGTAAAAAAACTATAGAAAATATTTATGCCTCTTTTAAACTCCTCACAAGTCCAGAATAGTTATTTTGAGAGCAAAATTGATTGAAAACTAGGATTATAAATTTCAAAAGAAATAATTTCTAATAATTCCAGTGATAATGAAGTAATTATGAAGAATTAACACAGTGCATTTCATAAAATGAAAACTGCTGGAAAACCAAACAACACACAAAACACCAGCTGTGTGACTTAATGTTGCTGCTTACTGCAAAACGCCATCAACAGTACATAAAGGGAAAGATTGGCGCATCACGAAAGCTTCTTGCCTATAACGGGAGAAATATACAAATTTTAGGAAACATCATGACATGTTAGTGAAGTGGAAATAACTAAATAACTATTGTTTTCAAATAGTCTCAAAGTGGCACTAGTCTGAAATTGGAGAACATTTAAAAAGGAGAATTTTTCTTCACTTAGATATCTGCAAGGATATATTCCCTGTTTTAATACAACTAAGAACTAGAAATGTGTTAGTCTGCCTTAGATTGTGATTCATATCAAATGCTCCCCAAAATCTCAGTGGCTTAAAAAAATTCTTATTTTTCATTTATGTCAATATTAAGGTTGCAAGTTGACTGTGACCTTCCTCCATATTTCTCACCCTACCATAAAGGCTGAAGGAGCAGGCTCTGTCTGCAGAGGCCATTGTTAGATCAGGAGAAACAGAGTGAGTTAGTGAGGGGAAGCGAAGACTTTGAAAGCTCTTGCTAGGAGCTGACCCTCAGGGACCAGCATTGTGCTGAAGTAAAGCCACGACCTGCAATGCCAGCACATCATATGAATCTATAGCAGGCTGCTCTGCTTCCTATTCAGTCAGCTCCCTGCTAACTGACCTGGGAAGGCAACAGAAAACAGCTCCACCCACGTGGGAGACCTATACGGAGTTTCAGACTCCCAGTTTCAGCCTGGTCTGGCCCTAGCCATTGTGGCCATTTGGGGTGAGTCCAGTAGATGGAAAATCCTCTCTCTCTCTCTCTCCTTCTCAAATAAATATTTTTTTTTTAAATTGACCTCCTTTGATCAAATGTTGTCCGATGCCTAAGGCAATGATGTATATTACATTCATGTCCATGGACAGGGATGTGTAACCATTTTATAGGGAAAGAAGAAATACAGATTTGGGAATCATAATAAATATATCACAAAGTATATGTTATTATTGAGCATTTATTATAGTGGTAAGCACCGGAAAATTCAGTGAAGATGAAAAAAACTGGTCACTTCCATCTTTAAAAGCTTGGCAGATAGCTACCATACCACCCTCACAACGAGCACAAACTATACCAGATACTCCCCTTAGGGAATCCCATCGAATCCTTTCACTAACTCCATAAAGTGTTCGTGAATATTGATGATTTTTTTTAATTTAGAAGAAAATCGAGACTAGTTCATTTACCAGACTGTTCCTCCACTCTTACATGAGTTGGTAACTGGCTTGCTTTGACCGACGGCATCTCAGCAAATGTAATGAGCTGAGATTTGAAAAGTGCTCATGTTCTGGGCCCAGCGGTGTGGCCTAGCAGCTAAAGTCCTCACCTTGAACGCGCCCCGGGATCCCATATGGACGCCGGTTCTAATCCAGGCAGCTTCACTTCCCATCCAGCTCCCTGCTTGTGGCCTGGGAAAGCAGTTGAGGACGGCCGAAAGCCTTGGAACACTGCACCCGTGTGGGAGACCTGGAGAAAGTTCCTGCATCCTGGCTTCGGATCGACATAGTATCGGCCGTTGCGCTCACTTGGGGAGTGAATCATCGGACGGAAGATCTTCCTCTCTGTCTCTGCTCCTCTCTGTATATCTGACTTTCCAATAAATAAATAAATCTTTTTTAAAAAAAAAGTGCTCATGTTCTGAGGCTCACCCTTTTACTGCTCTTGGAATCATGCTTTCATGGGAACAAGCCCAGGCTATCTGCCTGCTAATGAGTGACCTAGCCTGGCATTCAAGATAGAAGTGAAGGAGTCTGTCCTAGCAATCAATTACCTGCAAACAGACGCGTGTCAGGCCCCAGCAGGGGCCAGCTGGGAAGGCTTCCCATGGAGCCTAACGGAAGTCATTTATTCTGTTCATTTATGCAACATGCATCTGAAAAACATTTTCTGGATGGCTAGCCTGGCATGTATCAGGTGCTTTACTATGTCCATATGAGTCATATTAAAAAGACAGAAATAGTCTCCAGCATCAAAGTTTACAGAATTACGGCATGGGGCAGAAATACAAAACAATACACACATAAATAATTCATTATTTTTACATTATGTTATGTCGTGATAAATACGAAGATAGACAATATAATTACGTTATGTAAATCTGTAGGATGGAAATTAGAAGAATGTTACACAGAATTTTTAAATTTTTACTTATTATCATTTTATGATACAGTTCCACAGGCCCTGGGATTTCCCTTATCCCCTCCCCAAATCCCTCCCCCCACACTGAGTTCCCCTAAATCATTACTATAGTATAGTTCTTCATAAACAGTCATATGTCCATCATTGCGGGTATGGACAACGGCAGAGTCCAGCATCCTATTGTCAAGACATAGTAAACAATTTCCTTGGTAGTCCATCTTTAGTATCGAAGTAGAAATGCATACGCAGAATTTTTTTTAAAAGATTTATTCTTTTGGGCCCGGCGCGGTGGCGCAAGTGGTTAAAGGTCCTCGCCTTGCACGCCCGGGATCCCATATGGGCGCCGGTTCTAATCCCGGCAGCCCCGCTTCTCTTCCAGCTCCCTGCCTGTGGCCCGGGAAGGCAGTCGAGGATGGCCCAAAGCTTTAGGAACCTGCACCCGCGTGGGAGACCCGGAAGAGGCTCCTGGCTTCGGATCGGCATAGTATCGGCCCGTTGTGCTCACTTGGGGAGTGAATCATCGGACGGAAGATCTTCCTCTCTGTCTCTCCTCTCTGTATATCTGCCTTTCCAATGAAAAAATAATAAAAATAAATCTTTAAAAAAAAAGATTTATTCTTTTTATTGGAAAGTCAGATATACAGAGGGGAGAGAGAAAGATCATCTTCTCTCCACTGATTCACTCCTCAAGTGACTGCAACAGCAGGAGCTGAGCCAATCCAAAGCCAGGAGCCAGGAGCCTCTTCTGGGTCTCCCATGCGGGTGCAGGGTTCCAAGGCTTTGGGCCGTCCTCGACTGCTTTCCCAGGCCACAGGCAGGGAGCTGGATGGGAAGTGGCGTCCATATGGGATCCCGGCATGTTGAAAGTGAGGACTTTAGCTGCTAGACTACCGCACCTGGTCAGAACCCAACTACTTTTAGCCTTTATCTGTCTCCCAGCCTCGGCGTTGGCGGGAAGCCGGAGGCAGAGCCAGAGAACTGCAGTCTTTTTGTTTGTTTTTTATCGTTTGACTTTCCAAATTATATGCATTATTACTTGGGTACAGGTAGAAACATATATATATGTTAAATATAATATATATATTAATATATATATATATTCAATTCTCCCCAACCAGAAACTAGTGCTTTATTCTAAATTTTACTTACAACTAGCGCTGCCTTGGTTGGGAAGTGTTTCCTTTTTAAAATTATATTCGATGCAACATGTGCCAACATCCAAAGTCTTACTTCTCGAAATAGGTAATTTATCCTGGTACAGTTTATTGACAAGTAATCACAGCATTTAACACTGGGATGTTTTCCAATTCTACACACTTTGTCCTGGTCCCTAATTTGAGCTACAGGGGGACGGAAGTTTCTAAGAACTCAAGCGTGTAGACGCGGGGCTGGGGGACCCGAGGGCCGGGGTCACTCCGTCCCGCAGGCTGAGGTGCCCGGAGCCGGGGCGGACACCGTCAAGGTCAGCCCCCGCGGCGACCCCGGTTCGAGAAGCACGCCGCCCCGTAGGCTGAGGTACCGGGAGCCGGCGCGGCCCCGCGCGATGGCGCGTCACTTCCGGCCGGCCGCCCCTCCCTCCGGCGCGCCGTGATTGCCATGGCGGAGCAGCGGGGGCAGCGGCCCGGGGTCGGCGTCGGGGTCGTGGTGACCAGCAGCAGGCACCCTCGCTGCGTCCTCCTGGGCAAGAGGAAAGGCTCGTTGGGAGCCGGAAGATTCCAGCTTCCGGGAGGCCATCTGGAGTTCGGGTGAGAAGCACCAGGCCAACCCCGGGGCAAACGGCACATGCGCGGGAGAGACGTGCTCGCGTCGTGCTTGCGTGTGTGCGTGTGCACGTCCGCCCCGACGCTGCGTCACTCTGTTCTTACGCTCGGCCGGGAGAGGGCGCTGTGCCGTGGCAGGGAGTCACCTCGCGCAGCCGCGTAGGCGATGTGCAGAGTGGTTTGTGCGCTGGTGTGTTTTGGTGGTGCTTACACCCCTGAGGAGGACGTGTCTGAAAACGTCCACCAGGGCCTGGTGTCAGCTCAGACACTTGCAGGCCTGCCTGTGGTTCAGATGCAGTGTGTGCTGCTCTCCGGCAGGTGGAACTTCCCAGGGCCTCCGGCGGTTGCTCTTGCACATGGAGGCTGGGCGCAGTGCTCTTTAAGGCTCCGCTTGTGCCTTGGCACTCTGCTGTGACCATATGCCAGACCGAACGCGCTGGAGGGTTTGCTGAAGGAAGCCTGGCACGGTGCTAATAAGTGCATTCTGGAATAAGGCTAAAGTTGCAAACAGCAGAAAGCCTCCGGACCCAGGGCTCTTCCTCTGGTATCAGAATTTTCGCATGGACATCCAAGTGGAGAAAGAGACCCTCGCGCCCCCTCCCACAGAACTTGTTTTTGTTGCATCGTCACTGCCTTTTCCTCCCTTGCCAAAACCCAGATACATGCACACATACTCATTATTCCCAGTCTATCTTAAAAGACATTGCAGATTGCTATCGTTGCTAAACAGACCTACGTTTTTTACAAAAAACACAGAATCACTTCCTGTGTCTGCTGGTTTGCCCTGGCTGCAACAAGCAGGCCTTGGGCCAGGCTGCGTCAGGAGCTCCGAGCTCCTTCCAGCCTCCTTGTGCTTAGGGGTGGACCCAAGAACCCGCTCCCTCGGCTGCTGCCTCCCAGGGGCACGGTAGGCCAGGCGTGAACCAGGCCTTCTGATGCGCAGGGTGGGCGTCAGAGGCGGGGACTTGGCCACAGTGCGGAGTGCCCAGCCCCTGCCTCGTGCACTCTCCAGTACCATCTTCACCGCCTCAGTACTCGTTGTCCCGGTTGGTGGATCTGCAAAATGTTTTCATGTTTTCTTACTGTTTAGTACCTGTCAGGATCCAAGGAAAGGATACAGAGTCTTTCAGTCTAACCGTAACCCTCCTCCAGCCCCGTCCCCCCACCCCCATACATTTAATTGTTCAAGAATTTGATCATTTAACCTTGAACAGTTTCACGTTTCAACTCTTTGTTTTATCAAAGTTCCTACCCCAGAATTTCACAGCAAAAAAAAAAAATTTTTTTTTTATAAAAACCGAATGCAGTTCCTTGATGTGTTTGTGTGTTGAAGTGAAACCTGGGAGGAATGCGCTCGCAGGGAGACGTGGGAGGAGGCGGCGCTGCAGCTGCGGAACGTGCGCTTCGCCTCGGTGGTCAACTCCTGCGTGCAGGCCGAGGGCTACCACTACGTGACGGTCCTCATGAAGGCAGAGGTGGACGCGGCTCAGGACGCGGAGCCCAAGAACGTGGAGCCCGAGAAAAACGAGAGTAAGACAATGAGCCTGTCATAATCCTTGGGGCACAGCCTCTTGCCGGGGATGTTAGATTCTCTTTGTATCATAACAACTTCCCTCCCCCCCACGCACATTATTCATCTGTTGGAATCCCCAGGGAAGGTCCTGGCGAGTGGGGGACTTGGCGAGGTAATAAAGTAAGGAGGTGAGAAACCTCCCACGTGGGTTGAGTGCTTCTAAGAAACACGTGGGGAGAGACCTGTACTGGATGAGTACGCGGAGGGAAGGTGCTGGAACCTGGAACTGGAACCCGGAACAGGCATCCAGTCGGCCCAGCTTCTAGACCTGGGGCTCAAGGGGGCCTTCTGTGGTCCCTCCGCCTCCTAGTTCATGGCAGTCTGTGCCTGCGGCCTCAGCAGACCAGGACAATAGACACATTTAGAGGTGTTTGACTGCAGAGGGCTTTCAGGAACTGGCCTGGGTGTTCGTGGCCTGGTTACAGCTCCATGGCATGGGACAAGTTTCATAACGCTTGGGCCTCTCTGTTCCTGTGAGAGAGCAGTAGCCCCCTGGGATGGGGTGACGTGGCATGGCATGGGGAGCACACGGAACACCCTGTGAGGATTTCTATACAGACCCAAATCACCATGAAATAATTCTAAATCTGCATTTCACCACACCATGAGCTTTGTCAACTTGACTTTATATTCAAAAAGCGTTTTAAGCATTTACCGTTCTCTTAAAATCTTCATCCTAAGTGCCAGGTTGCTTATGTGGCCATGCCAATGCAAAGTGTCACTACTCAAGTTTATCTTTTTAGCAGACATTCACATTTAAATTCAGTTCTGTTTTTTCCAAATCTAGGTTGCCACAATACATACCTTTTGTTTCCTGTTAGCGAAACGAACTGACTTGGCATCTTTCTTGTCTAGGCTGGGCGTGGGTTCCTTGGGACGAATTTCCTCCAGCAGATGAGCTTTTCTGGGCGCTGCGCTGCTTGAAGGAACAAGGCTACGACCCGTTCACGGAAGATCTGGATCATCTGGTAGGGTACAAAGGAAGCCACCTCTTAGATGACCAGAAGATTTCTTGATATCTTTTTTTTTTCCCTTGAAGGACAAAACTAAGGTTTTGTTAGAGCATGAAAAAATATATACATTTCAGAACAACTCCATGGCATCTAAAGTGTTACCTAGATTTCTAGATTATTTGCAGTCTCTTCATGTGCTCACAACCCTTGCAGTCAGTACTGGAGAGAAGGTGCCGTGGAATAGGATGTTGGATCTTATTCACAGAGGGATAGGCGCCTTCCCGTGGGTCGAGGAGCGCCGCCAGCACGCGTGGGTGAGAGCAGTCACATGTGCCGAGTGCATCAGCTCAGACCCCTCAGCGCAGACACGGTCATTCAGACACGGTGCGCCTGGTGCGGGCTTTATCCTGTTTGTTGGTTTTCTTCTTCCCTTTTCTGTGGAAATGGCGTTTGTGGTTTTCAGTGGGACAGCCTCAGCTGGAGACAACAGGACAGGCTGGCAGGGAGCATTTTCCAGGCTTCTTCCGTGGGACTCCAGGCTGAGGGAAGTGAGACAAGTCACTGTTTTTATTAAAATTGGGAAATGTGCATTATGGCTTCTATTTTCTCTACATCAAAGTAAGTGAAAGTGTTAAGTCTGTACTTGCTTCTCCAGACATTGAATTTCACATCTACTTATGGCGTGGATTAATTCTTCCACATGTCCTTAATTCCAAATTCCATTCCAGATTTGCCCTATTATTTTGTTTACCATGTTCACATATTTGGCTTTCTGCATTATAATATTGCTTAATCAGCTTTATATGCAAATCTTCATTTCATTTACCAGAAAAGTGTTTCATAGGCAAAAAGAGCGAAGTAACAGATAACCAAACTTTTCTCCAACTTCACTGTGATCTGATGTTTCCTGCGCTCTACTTTTTCGTAGTGAATTCACTTTATGCCCGTTATTTAAAATAGATATGTATATTTATTTATTTGAAAGGTAGAGTTTACAGAGAAGGCAGAGAGAGAGAGAGAGAGAAATCTCTCCCCTGGTTCATTCTTCACATGGCTACAGTGGCAGGGCCAGGCCAGAATCAAGTCAGGCTCCAGGAGATCCATCCAGGTTTCCCATTTGGCTGCAGGGATCCAAACACGAGCGTCATCTTTGGCTGATTTCCTAGGCATACTGGCAGGAAACTGGATCAGCAGCCAGGACTGGCATTCGTATGTGATGCCAGCTTCACTCGGTATGCCACATAGCAGGCCCTTCCCTCACATTACCTACAGCCCAGAGCTTTGCTGTGCTGCAGCCCCAGTCGCACTGCAGGCCCCAGAGCCTGAGACTTTCTGCATCTGTTGATTTGATGGGTTCCAGACTGAACTTCCTCTGGCATTCCTCTCAGGAAAAGGCTGCTGCATCTGCCACTTTGCTCTAGATTGGTTTTCTTCCCCACACCCGCACTCCCTCTGTCTTGGCCGTTCTGTTCCTTTCATGTGTCTGACTCTTCCCCCATCGTGTTGTCCCAACCCTCTCTCCCCTGGGCCAGGTCTTTACACTGCTCCTCCTTAGCTCAAAAAAACATTTATTTATTTGAAACGAATAGTGACAGAGAGAAGGAGAAACACAGAGTGGGATCTTCCATCCACTGACTCAGTCCCCCAAATGGCCACAATGGCCAGCCCAAAGCCAGGAGTCGAGAACTCCATTTAGGTCTCCTGGGTGGGTGGCGGGGGTCCAAGCACCTGGGCCCCCTTTCATTGCTTTTCCAGTGCATTAGCAGGGAGCTGGATCAGAAGTGGAGCAGCCAGGACTCTACCTGAAGCTTGCTCGTGTGGACTGCCAGTGTCGGTCTGTGTTAAGAGCTTCATCGGCTGGGCCACAATGCTGCCCCTCCTACAGCTTTGAACCTCCAATTCATTGATGTTGATTTTTCATGTGGAAAATACACGTAAAACCTAGCATCTTGACCAACCAGTTTAGTTTGGAAAGCACTTCTAAGTGAGTTCAGAAACACATTTTGTTGTGTTTCTTACCTTCCCAGACTTCAGAAATTGTCCATCGCTTGTGGGTTAACACCCCTAGCCTTAACAGGAGGCCTGTCACCCTTCCCAGCACTAACTTGTACCCTGGCCCTTCCACAAACCCTTCTCACACAGCATATCCTCCACGGCTTCCTCAAGTACCATGCTGTCTGCCACCCTTTGGGCAGCATGCCACCCATGGCTTTTGCATTTCAGCCCTAGTGTCCCTTCTTGTGAAAAACCACCCACACTGAGTCAAGCAGATTTGGCATATCGTACTCAGTGACCTTAAAGTAATGCGTCCTGGGCGACAGTTTTATCGTAGCTTCTGAATTAGTAAGGCTATGGGAAGACTTCTCGCCTAACATGCCAGTAGCCAGACGGTGGCTAGGAGTACTGAATGCCACTACATACTGGTTGAATCGGAAGTGAACTTTCTTTTCCTTCACTGTTTCCTCTCTGGACTAGAATGAGATGAGTAGCATTCAGGATATTCAGATAGAAGAACTGCATTCTGGAGAAGGGCTGGAGTGTGAAATAATCATAGAAGAAAAGCCCTGGCTAAAAGCGGGCACACGGTCCACAACTAGATGTGGCCACTGAACTCCAGTGCCAGCTTATTTCTGGTGAGCATATGGAAGAAGGCAGGTTACCATATCCTAGGGAAATTATTAACTATGTTACATATGTGAAATGTACCTTATAATGGATTCTGTATTTTAAAAGGCAAGTATGAGGGTACTTCAGAAAGCTCATGAAAAATTAAAAGGTAGGGCCTGGCACCATACCTAGTGGCTAAAGTCCTTGCCTTTCAACACACCGGAATCCCATATGGGCGCCGGTTCTAATCCCGGCAACTCCATTTCCCATCCTGCTCCCTGCTTGTGGCCTGGGAAAGCAGTTGGGGACAGCCCAAAGCTTTGGGACCCTGTACCCATGTGGGAGATCCAGAAGAGCTCTTGGCTCCTGGCTTCAGATCGGCGCAGCACCAACTGTTGTGGCCATTTGGGGAGTGAATCATCGGACAGAAGATCTTCCTCTCTGTCTCTTCTCCTCTCTGTATATCTGACTTTGCTAAATAAATAAATAAAATAATAATAATAATAAATCTTAAAAAAAGAAATTAAAATGTAAGCTTATTTTGGTACAAAAAAATGTTGCAATCATACTTAGTGCTTACATACTGTGCATTTTCCACAAACTTGATAAAGATCCTTCATGTGCATGGATTTCAGACTTTTTTTGCACTAAAATAGACTTATCATTTGTAATTTCCATGAATTTTTTGAAGCATCTTCATAATTATATGGCCATGATACTTAAGAATACTCTGAAGTTATACTCTGTTAGCAGGATTCATATATCAAGTCAGAAGAATTAGATACATCTGATTCACAAAATGCCATGAGACATTTTATTCACAAGATGCTGGGGATCCAGAGAAACAGACTCCAGGTAAGCTGCTCTTGGCAGCCCTGCGAGGGAGCCCAGTTGGATGTCCAGCAAGTAGTTGCCATGACCTGGCTCTTCTCACCTTGGGGGAATAGCTGGGTGAACTTGGGCCTTCAGGTTATATGAGGAAGGGTTTCACTTGTCCACTAAGGAGTTGCAGTAAGCTTACGGGCTTGAGAACCGTTGGACACACACCTGCCTTTTTTTTCTCTCTGTGCTATTTGCTACCTGTGAAAATAAACCAAGTGCTCTCAACCACGCTGCTTTGTGTGTGTGTGTCTAATCAATGCTGGTGTGAGAACCCTGGCATGGCAGAACTTGGAAGCAGGTCTCCTGCCTTAACATCTGTATTTGCACGTGTTACCACCACTGAGTGGATTCAGTGGAAAAAAAAATAATAGGTGTCCAACAGGCTCAGCAAAAGGATGTCACATGGGTAAGGACCAGTACGGAGAATTAAAAGGGGTCGGAGAGATTGAACAAGTGGTTTGGAGCCAGAGAAGTGGAGTGGGCCAGCAGGTGAGACTGGAGCTGTGGTGTGAGGTCCTGCACGCTGCCCCTCCTACCCCAGCAACTGTACATGCTGTTTTCTCCACGGCATCACAGGTGAGCAGTCTGGGCGGCTGGCTGGTTGACACAAATGGCTGAAAGTGAGGCAGCCAGGAGCAATAATTGCTAGAACCATGGTACAAACACCAGGAGCTCAGTAACTCGATCTATCCCTTCAGTTTGTTTCACGTAGAATCTGATAGTATAGACAAACAATGTAATTCGTAAGGCTTTATTGAACAGTCTGCTGTACTAAGCAAACAAGGCTACACTAAATGTGTAGCACAGTAGTGGACATATTGGTAATGGCTCTATAAGGATTTGAATCTACTTGAAGGATAAAAATTACGAAAACATGATAGTACATTGAAGTGACCAAATTTTCTAAACTTCTAAAATTATAACATGCACACTGGATCTCAGTTATCATTATACTTCTTTATAATATAAAATGAGCACACTTACGTGATCACCACCTAGAGTAACATCTTACCAGCACCTCAGAAGTATCGTCCACAAGTCCCCACTGTCACCGTCACAGATAAAGGTAGGGTTGAATTTGCTATAAAAAGAATCACATAACACACGGTTTTTGTATCTAACAGCTTTCAGTCAATATTGGTTTTTCAGGTAGTCCACTTTCAGTCTGTGTAGAATCCCATTGTTTCAATATACCCATACCTATGTGGTGTTGATGTTCTTCTGGGTCTTTCCAGTGAGCAATTAGAAATTAAATTGCTGAGTACAAGCTAATGGGAATCAAATCAATAAAATTAGATAAGTCTCATACATTATTATGAAGGTATACACGGCACCCATGGCAACTTATTTCTGTTGAATATAATCCAGGAGTGACAAGGCTGGGTCAGAGTATATATGTCTTTGCTAAAGAAAAAGAAATAGTATTTTTATTTACTTGAAAGGCAGAATGACCGAGAGTGAGAGACAAAAAGAAAGCTTACAGCTGCTGTTTCACTCCTCAGAAGGCTGCACTGGCCGGGGGAGCCAGGGTGGCCAAGAACCTGGAACTCCTTCCAGCTCTCCCAGTGACTGGCCCGCATCCAAGCACTTCCTCTACCTTCCCCCAGCACATTT